CTCAAGGTCGAGCAGACAGCGGCTTTCAGCTCAGAGCGCAGCCGAGCCCAGGACTCTGATAGTGGGCGACTCCATTATCAGAAACCTCAGTAGCAGAAATTCAGCAACTTTCTGCTTTCCTCAAGCAACAGTTTCTGATTTGAACAAGGAACTTGGGAAAATTCTAATGAAGCACAAGACTGTAAATCGAATCATCATCATCCATGTGGGGAAGACTGATATTCGGAAAGAGCTGTCAGAACTCTAAGGACTTCAGTGAATTCTTTGAAACACTTCGAAGACTCAAAGTTCAGTCATTCATCAGTGGACCACTCCCAGCAAGGGGAACTAATATGTATTCACGTTTGCTTGGGCTGAACACATGGCTACAAAGAATCTGCAAATTAAAAGGAGTCAATTTCATCGACAACTTCAATCTTTTCTGGGGCCATAGACAACGGTTTAAACTGAAACAAACTTGGTGCAAGAGTGCTAAGGACAACATCTACTTCTCCATCCGTCATCCTTCAGTAGTGTGCCAAACTACTCAACCTGAATGGCACACACACACACACACACCTGGACAGAGTATGAGCGATGACAGGACTTCAAATCAGTTTCCAAGTCATCATGTGGTTGACATACCACAAGGACACTGATAACACCATGCAGCCACAACAAGCCCTGCTCATAGACACCATCCCGGCTGAGCCCTGCCCACAGAGCTCATCACAGACAGACTGTGACGTATCAGAACAGCTCCAAGACTCAGCACCCAAGGACGACTTTCTGGAAACCAGTCAGGGAAGCCAGGACAACATATCACAGCCACTGGAAACACCAGAGCAACAGCCCTGTTCACCAGACACATTATCCCTCTCTCCAGCATCTCCACTTCTAAGCTTCTCACAGAAAAATGGAGGAACTGGTTTATGCTGGGACCAAACTCTCCCCCACTCATTCGCTGCAAGCCCCCAGATATAAACAAAAAAAAAAAAGAAAAGAAAAAAAAAAAACCGGCGGGCCCCACAACCTTCAAAGCCTGTGGGACCAGCTCGTCCTCCTCCTCCTGTGAGAGCTCTCCGGCCGCTGCCACAACGCCAGGGCCCAAACCCTCCATCTGCTGTAGGTGAACCAAAAACAACTGATAGCAGCTCTCGGTGATGTGTTGAGTCCCCGCTATAATAGCAGCAACATTTACAAATGTTTACAGAACAAGCGGGAACCCAGTGTGCCTGTAGCTTTCTCCATTTTGGTTTTATCACGTGATAGAAAGTCTAAGGCCTTCTCAAGCCGTACGGCTGACTTATCTAATCTGTGGCCTGTTATGCATCAAACTAATATTGCGGTGGAGACAAAATGCAACGCCATCAAGTTAGCATTTTAAACATTCGCTCACTAAAAAATAAATAATTTCTAATCAATGACTTAACCACAAACAACCTGGATTTTATGTTTCTAAATGAAACATGGCTAGAAGACAGCTGCAGTGCAATGGTCCTCAATGAAACAGCCCCTCCTAACTTCACTTTCATGAGTGTTTGCAGGACTGTTAGGAGAGGTGGAGGTGTAGCTGCTCTATTTAAAGATGTCTATCAATGCAAGCAAGTGTCATTTGGTCAGTACTTGTCTTTTGAATATCTAGGGATTGTGTTGAAAGGTGCTCCACGCATTCTGTTTATCATCATTTACAGGCCTCCAAAATACTCTCCAGCCTTTGTTGAAGAGTTCACAGAAATGCTATCAACGATTTCCTCGGAGTTTGACTGTTTTGCTATTGCAGGGGATTTGAATATTTACATAGATAATGCAGAAAACAAAACTACAAAATAAATTATAACTGGTTTAAACACTTTTGACCTGATTCAGCATGTGCATGAACCCACACACAATCGTGGACACACTCTAGATTTAATCATCAGTAGGGGACTAAACAGTTCATCCATTGTTATTAAGGACGTAGCACTATCAGATCACTTCTGTATTTTCTTTGATATATTGATCTCTGCTACCACTGAATCTAGATCGGTCTCAGTCAGAAAGAGATGCATTAACGAAAACACTAGTGTGCTATTTATGGAGGCTATATCTTTAACACCAAGCATTTCTGCAGACTCTGTTGATCTTCTCCTTGATTCCTTTAACTCAAAAGTTAAGAATGTTATTGATGACATTGCTCCTGTGAAAGTCAGCAAGAAGACTGGCAGACAGAAATCAGCTTGTAGAAAATCAACAGCAGTACAGAGTATGAAAAGACAACACAGAAAAGCTGAGTGGATGTGGCGGAAGACGAAGCTTGAAATCCACTATAGCATATATAAAGACAACCTTCGTACTTTCAATGTGGAACTAGGCAATGCTAGACAGTCATTCTTCTCAAACCTTATAAACAGCAACTTAAACACTCGCACTCTTTTTGCTACTGTTGAGAGACTGACAAACACCCCTATTGTGGTTGAACAGACAGATTCGACCACAATATCAAAAAGATACTATGTCTGCTTTTGAAGAAATTGATAGCAAAATTTTGGAAGAAATAGTACAGCACCTTAAATCGTCAACCTGCTATCTTGACACACTTCCCACATATTTTTTCAAAAGGGTGCTTAACGGTTTAGAACCAGACTCAAAACTCATCGGTTTAGCTCTGCATTTATTGAATGAGCACTGTGCGATGTCCGAACTGATTGCACTATATTTTATGTATAATCGTTTTCTGTTCTTAACTGTTTTAAACCTCTTAAATAAATTAATCATTTTCAAAGTTTTTAAATTCCTTGTTTTATTGTTGGGATTAATATTTCCTTTTTTTCTTTTTTTAAGTAAAGCACTTTGAATTACCATCGTGTATGAAATGTGCTATATAAAATAAACTTGCCTTGCCTTAATTAACAGTGTTGGGGAAAGTTACTTTTAAAAGTAATTACAATATTGCGTTACTCCATAAATAAAAAGTAATTGCGTTACTTAGTTACTTTTTATGGAAAGTAATGCGTTACGTTACTTTTGCGTTACTTTTTAAATCTGGACAGGGCTTGCTTGTTTTTAAAATAAAATAAAAAAAAAAAAAAGTTATATTTTTGGCAAATATAAAGGCCTTTTCACACCAAAAGTGAAATGAATAAGCCTCAGGTTGAAGGAAATTTAAATCTGTACAGTAGAATGCAGAAGAAGAAATTTCAACACTTCAGCGATGTTTGTCTAGAGTAATTTTTGCTTAGTATGGTTGAATTGGATCGAAGGTCAGAAGCAAAGACATTGGTTAATAGAATGGGATTAAATACATAAAGGATATTTGTGTTAAGCATTTAATTGCAGGTCATTCTGAGTTGCATTGGTTTTAATTCGTTTTGCGGAATACTGAATCGTTTTTTTTTTTTTGGTGAGCAAGATTAATTAATGCATATTCGTATTTACTTTAGAACTACAGTAACATCGGATTTCTCTCAGCATGGGGACAGGAGAGCTGTCAATCAATAAATTGGGAAAAAAGTAACTCGCGTTACTTATATGAAAAAGTAACTCCGATATCCTCTTGTAAATTAAAAAGTAATCTAATTACGTAACTTGCATTACTTGTAATGCGTTACCCCCAACACTGATAATATAAATGGATGAGTTAAATGGTCACCCCCCTCACTGTTGTCATGAAGGGCAAAACGACCTATATAGACCAAAACCACTTTTTGTACCAGGCTGTAAAAATTCTCTGTTGTAAAGTTGGGCATTTTAACATGACAGGTCTATGGGACTGACTCCCTTTTGGAGCCAGCCTCTGACGGCCAGTCGATGAACTGCAGTTTTAACAAACTTACATATTAGTTTCAAGTGAGAGACCGAGAGGTTGACGCTTGATTCAGACCTACTTTTGACTAGAACTAATAAGGCAAAATGATGATGATTATTAATAATAATAATAACTAACAACAACAACTGACCAAAACAATATAACAAATACCTTTATATGGAGCCGTACAGTAACGTCCACATTCATTGCTGCAGCACTTCTCATTGTTGGGACAGTTAGAGTCACTGTTACAGGACGTGGTACACGATTTTATTCCAGATGATTGGGCTGGACACTCTCCAGGCTTTGCTGTTATTTAGACAACACAGAAAGAATCACTGAATGCTGAACAGCTTCATTCACTTAAATTAAAAGTTAAATAACATTTCAGTCTCCGTTTAAGACTTATTGAATTCAATGTGTTACTTGGGTGTTTTTTTTGTTTTTGAGGACCCCTAGAGGGTTCAAGAGGAACATTAGGGGAGGCCATAGAGTGTGGTTTCAGCATTTGGAAAGCAGGGGTTTTGCAATACATGTCTCAAACCTTAATATACATTTTACATTTATCTGCATCAATCAAAGGTTTTAAAACCTACTACTCATTGCTAAACTGTGAGTCACTTATTTCTTCAGGCTGTGTAATGAAGTTAACAGATATTCTCACCTGTGGTTTTTCCTGGAGTAGCATCTGTAATGCTCAAGTATCCAGACAGACACAAAACGGCAATCAACGAGCAATACACTCGAGCTGTCATCCTCCCCAATCTGTGATCTCACAATGATCTCTGCTGGAAAATGCACTGAATTGATGTGTCAGGAGCAGCGGACAGTGAAGCGCACAAAACTAAAACGAATAACCATGTTGCTCTGTAAAATGGGGTTTTAAAGATCCAAGGAGATCAGGTCAACTCCAACCCCGATCAAACTCACCTGTCTGTAGTTTTCTAGTAATCTGGAAGACCTTGATTAGCTTGTTCAGGTGTGTTTGATTGGAGTTAGATGAGCTGAATGCTGCGTTCATGCCATGTCATAATAATTAAGGAAGCCTAATTACGAGAGGATTATGCATTTCTATGGTGACACTGGGTGCTTCTCAATTCTTATTTGTGCATCCTCGCTTCCTTTCCTCATGTCTTAGCTCCACCCCTTCAGGATGCGAGGGAAGGATGCAAGAAAAAGATGCGAGAAAAAAAAAAAGTTATATTTTTGGCAAATATAAAGGCCTTTTCACACCAAAAGTGAAATGAATAAGCCTCAGGTTGAAGGAAATTTAAATCTGTACAGTAGAATGCAGAAGAAGAAATTTCAACACTTCAGCGATGTTTGTCTAGAGTAATTTTTGCTTAGTATGGTTGAATTGGATCGAAGGTCAGAAGCAAAGACATTGGTTAATAGAATGGGATTAAATACATAAAGGATATTTGTGTTAAGCATTTAATTGCAGGTCATTCTGAGTTGCATTGGTTTTAATTCGTTTTGCGGAATACTGAATCGTTTTTTTTTTTTTGGTGAGCAAGATTAATTAATGCATATTCGTATTTACTTTAGAACTACAGTAACATCGGATTTCTCTCAGCATGGGGACAGGAGAGCTGTCAATCAATAAATTGGGAAAAAAGTAACTCGCGTTACTTATATGAAAAAGTAACTCCGATATCCTCTTGTAAATTAAAAAGTAATCTAATTACGTAACTTGCATTACTTGTAATGCGTTACCCCCAACACTGATAATATAAATGGATGAGTTAAATGGTCACCCCCCTCACTGTTGTCATGAAGGGCAAAACGACCTATATAGATCAAAACCACTTTTTGTACCAGGCTGTAAAATTCTCTGTTGTAAAGTTGGGCATTTTAACATGACAGGTCTATGGGACTGACTCCCTTTTGGAGCCAGCCTCTGACGGCCAGTCGATGAACTGCAGTTTTAACAAACTTACATATTAGTTTCAAGTGAGAGACCGAGAGGTTGACGCTTGATTCAGACCTACTTTTGACTAGAACTAATAAGGCAAAATGATGATGATTATTAATAATAATAATAACTAACAACAACAACTGACCAAAACAATATAACAAATACCTTTATATGGAGCCGTACAGTAACGTCCACATTCATTGCTGCAGCACTTCTCATTGTTGGGACAGTTAGAGTCACTGTTACAGGACGTGGTACACGATTTTATTCCAGATGATTGGGCTGGACACTCTCCAGGCTTTGCTGTTATTTAGACAACACAGAAAGAATCACTGAATGCTGAACAGCTTCATTCACTTAAATTAAAAGTTAAATAACATTTCAGTCTCCGTTTAAGACTTATTGAATTCAATGTGTTACTTGGGTGTTTTTTTTGTTTTTGAGGACCCCTAGAGGGTTCAAGAGGAACATTAGGGGAGGCCATAGAGTGTGGTTTCAGCATTTGGAAAGCAGGGGTTTTGCAATACATGTCTCAAACCTTAATATACATTTTACATTTATCTGCATCAATCAAAGGTTTTAAAACCTACTACTCATTGCTAAACTGTGAGTCACTTATTTCTTCAGGCTGTGTAATGAAGTTAACAGATATTCTCACCTGTGGTTTTTCCTGGAGTAGCATCTGTAATGCTCAAGTATCCAGACAGACACAAAACGGCAATCAACGAGCAATACACTCGAGCTGTCATCCTCCCCAATCTGTGATCTCACAATGATCTCTGCTGGAAAATGCACTGAATTGATGTGTCAGGAGCAGCGGACAGTGAAGCGCACAAAACTAAAACGAATAACCATGTTGCTCTGTAAAATGGGGTTTTAAAGATCCAAGGAGATCAGGTCAACTCCAACCCCGATCAAACTCACCTGTCTGTAGTTTTCTAGTAATCTGGAAGACCTTGATTAGCTTGTTCAGGTGTGTTTGATTGGAGTTAGATGAGCTGAATGCTGCGTTCATGCCATGTCATAATAATTAAGGAAGCCTAATTACGAGAGGATTATGCATTTCTATGGTGACACTGGGTGCTTCTCAATTCTTATTTGTGCATCCTCGCTTCCTTTCCTCATGTCTTAGCTCCACCCCTTCAGGATGCGAGGGAAGGATGCAAGAAAAAGATGCGAGGATGGACATGGAGTGCTTTTGTAGTTTCTGGGCTCATGACAGAGAGAGTTAAGAGGTCAAAGGCGGATCTTTGGGCTATGAAAAGGTTACTTGAGCCTTCAGGGAGCTTAGTTAAGGTTTCTGGGGTCGTGACTGAACTTGGGGGGCAGATAACAGGTTCATTGATTGCAATGGGACTGACAGAAATGTCAAACACATTACTTGAAAGTGGACAGACATGGCTCAACATTAGAAATTCAACAGTCAGGAAATTCACAGACAGCATCCTTGGCTGTGACAGACGGGGCTGAGAGTTCATAGGCAGCCTCTTCAGCTGGATCGGAACAGGACAAAAGTCTATAATTGGCCTTCATGACGGGTTTAGAACAAGTCGAGAGTTCCGAGATAGCCTCCTCGGCTGGTTCAGGACAGGAAAAAAAGTTTATAAGCGGCCTCCGTAGCCGCGACAGGACAGGAAGAGAGTTCACAGACGGCCTTCTTGCCTGAAACAGAACAGGCAGAGAGTTCACAGACGGTCTCCATAGCCGTTACAGGACAGGCAGAGAATTCACAGACGGCCTCCATAGCTGTTACAGGACAGGCAGAGGGGTCCCAGATGGCCAGGACGAGAGTCTATAAGTGGATGCCACTGACACCTCTGGAGGTTCTGCAGCGGATGCCGCCACCTCTAGAGGTTCTACAGCCGTACCATCACGAAACAGGGAAAGTTCATGAATATTCTCCTTATCAAAACAGGCACAGAGTTCAGCAACGGTTCCTTCGACCATGATATGACAGGCTGAACGTGTATTGCTGGGCGCCACCACCGCGCAAGGAGCTGAAGCGAGCAAGGCAAGGCAAGTTTATTTGTATAGCACATTTCATACACAATGGTAATTCAAAGTGCTTTACATAAAATAAAATCAATAATTTATTAGCAACGCCGCCTCGGGAGGTTCTTCAGCGTGGGCCGCCACCTCTGGAGAAGCTGCAGTGGGCGCCATCGCCTCGGGGAACATGGCAGCGTGCACCACTACCTCTGGAAAATCTGCAGCGTCAGCCACCACTTCGGAATTTTTAGTGGTGGTGTATGCAGCCCAAATACACCATAAAGTGATCCCCATTGTGGGAAGCGCTACAGACAGGGGAAATAGTTCAGAAACTGGAGGGCTTGAGAGCGCTGGTTTAGGAATGCCTGCTGCACGTGCCGACGCCAGCAGTGGGTCCTCCACGCTGGAAGCCAGTCTGGGATACCGAAGGGCTGACCTTGATATTCTGGGTGTAACAGACAGGACGTGACATGACCCTGGATGATCAGCTGTGATGTGACGTGACTCTAGACGAACAGCTGATACGTGACGAGGCTCTGGCAGATCAGCTGAGACGTGACTTGACTCAGGAAGTTTAGCTGTGACTTGACTTATGATGATCAACCGGAGCTCAAACTCAAACCACACGGCAGCAACAAACAGGAAGTGACAAAGTAACAAACAGTGAACTGACTTGACTAGACTCATGAAGATCAGTTGTGACTTGACTTGACCTTAGGAAGATCAGCTGTGACTTGACTTTACTCAGGAAGATCAGCAGTGACTTGACTTGATTCAGGATTGGCAGCTGTGATATAACGGGGCGCTGTTGTGTCCACCATTTTGTGAGCGTGCACTAGCGTGGCCGCCATTACACGAGTGAGTGGATGCTCGCGTTCCTCCATGACACGCACAGTGAATGTTGAACCAACAGTCAACAAAGCATAGTCCATAAACCGACTGAGAGATGATTAGTAACCTTCACGGATTAAACGTGATTTGAGCGGCTGATTAATGCCCTCACAAAAGAAGTCTAGGATACACAGTCCGGCAGATCAGAAAAATAAGCAAAGTTCAGATACTCTTGAATATAGACCTTAAGCAATCGTGTGCCCTGTTTTAGGGCTAATAACAGTCTTGCAATGTCCATACCTGGCCAGTGTCCACTTGAAAAGCCGCTGGATCCTTGTGTGGCCGAGTATTCTGTTACGGGGCGACAGAGATGTGAGACATGCGGATCCATCTTTTTATTTAAGAGACGTGGTCATAACAGACATGGGTCAAACAACGGCAAACAGGTACAACACAGGTAAGACAAAGAGTAATCCTAGGACAAGCGTGGGTCATCGATCGGCGAACGGAATCCAGAGGGCTTAACAAAAGGGGTAATCTGTAAACACGAGTAATAGTCAAAGGACCGGAAAACAGGCAAGGCAAAACTAGACTAGGACTTGGAAATAAACAATGACTAACAAAATGGCTCTGAAACGTAGCTATCACTGACTAGCGATATGCGCATATAATACTTGGCGATCTGAACGAGGAAGTCCAGGGCTTATAAAGCGTGTCTGATTGGATTCAGCTGTGTGTGTGTAATCAGTGCAGTGGATGATGGGAACTGTAGTCCGTAATGACATGTAACAGTCTTTGTGGTGTGAGAGTCAATGTAGTGAGTGCATGACCTCTGGTGGTGAGTGAACGAAAGTTCATAGACTGGATTCATGACAGTCGGGCAGCTGCTTGAAGATCTCGCCTTTGGAGAAGACTGTTGATATTATACTCAAAAAATGTAAGAATTACTACTTAAAAAATAAGATTACCCCAGAATGCATTGCTAGCCCACCCCACCCCAACACTTACAATGATAATGATAAATGCTGACCAGTAATTAATTGATTTTATATATAATTTTAGTAAAACAAGCTAAATGTAATTTCTTTTGTCATATGCCATTACTATGCATGAATACACACTAGACAAATGCAGCCAAGGTGA